TTCTGGATAACAACTTCATTATCCTTAACAACGGACAACCCACGCATTTCTTAACACATAGGACCTTTACACATATTGACTTGGCATTCTGTTCACCTGAACTTAAAGTATATTGCGACTTCAAAATCAGTGACTCCCTCCAAGGAAGCGATCACTTCCCAATCACCATCGAAATTTTCCCGAAAAATCAGAGAGCAAGTCAAAACTTTGTACAACGATTCGTTACTAGCAGAGCTGATTGGGAAAAATTCGAGATGCTAACTGAAGACCTGAACAATAAAATACCAATATCACTAAACATTCAATATCAAGAAAATTATTTTGCAAGTGCATACAAGAGCATTCCACACACGAGACCACCTAAGACCCACCACAATGTTCCTTGGTGGAACAAAAAACTGGAAGGTCTGAATAAGGAAAAATTTAAAGCCTGGAGAACATTCAAATGAGATATATCCAACGACAACCTCATCCATTATAAAAAAATGAACGCAAAATTCAGAAGAGAATTAAAATTTAGTAAAACAAATAGCCTATTTAAATTGACTTCGACAATCTCTCCTCAGTCCAAACCGGAAGCAATTTGGAGAAATATAAAAAAGCTCTGTGGTCTTCAAAAAGCTACACAAATACACGCTATCAAGGACAATAGCAGTAGCGATTTGCTCACCAGCTCCGAAGATATTTCTGAAGCCTTCGCAAGCTATTGGTCACTCCGTTCAGAAGACTCCCAATTCTCCAACCTTTTCATTGAAGAAAAAAATTATCTAAATACGCTAAACTTTTTATCTCCACCACACAAAACTGCAGCGTTCATGGAACAGGATATAAACTTCCTAGAGTTCTCATCGGCACTAAATAGCTTAAAGGGTCACACCCCAGGTCAAGATAAGATTAACTATGACATGATACGACACGTCGGTGAATCACTGAAAATGAGAATTATCCGCTTTTTCAACAACATTTTAAAAGCTTATATTCCTCAATCGTACAAAATCAGCACAATTATACCTATACGCAAACAAGGTGCAGACAAAACCATGACGGAATCATATAGACCTATCTCCCTCAACCCATGTTTATCTAAAACCCTTGACAAAATAATCTCAAAACGGCTATGGTGGTTTGCTACAACCAACAAGCTACTGAACAGCCGTCAACTCGGATTTAAAAAAGGGAAATCTGCAATGGATTGTCTGCTTTACGCAGACGCTCTAATTAGCAGAGCCCTCGCTGAAAAAGACACATATCCATTATATCTCTTGACTTCGCAAAAGCATTCGAAAAAATATGTTTGCATACCATCACAAATCAACTATCAGTATGGGGCTGCGGCCCATTAATTATCAAATACGTGATGAACTTATGTCAAAAAGGAAAATAAGAGTTCGTGCCAATGATAACACCTCAAGGACACACCCACTCCACAATGGCATTCCGCAGGGATCTCCCCTCTCGGTAGTACTTTTTCTCATTGCGTTCAACAGTCTCTCAGATATAATCGACAAGCACAAGGAACTTTAACACACAGCTTATGCGGACGATTTTAACATCTTAATACCATTGAATAAAGATAAAAACATTTCAATCAACCTCTACATGCTGTTTACTGAAATCAATGAATGGTGCCAAAAATCCGGCGCAATGCTTTCAATTTCAAAATGCAAACACATCCACATTTGCCGGAAAAAACAATGTTCATGCCAGGTCTCTACACAATCCGCAATTATAAACACAGTTAACGAACTAACTATTCTAGGTCTGTCTTTTAACACAAAATACAAATTCAAACCCCACTTCAATAAATTACACAAATCACTACAGAAACCATCAAATATAATAAAATGCCTTTCCAGCGGAAAATACAACAGCCACCCCAACACCCTTGTTCAAATCGTCAAAAGCCTATGTATTTCCAAAATTGATTACGCTTTACCGATATACGGTAACTCCTCTAAGTCACTTATAAAACCAATTAAAACGTTAATTAACTCAATCTTGCGAACATCTCTGGGAGCCTTCTGCTCTACACCCACTTTCAATCTATACCTGGAATCTAACATCGAACCATTAGAAACCAGAATCGAACACTTACAAACAAAAACAATTAACACTATCATGCACGCAAACGACACACCTCTAAGAAAAATTATCCAACAGATAACCAAAAACAATACAAAAAAATATCGAACCTCAACGGTCGACCGGTGCATTTCTCGAAGTCTAAAGCTAGAACTTCCAACCTCTCTTCCTTATAAGCCTAAACCAATATTACCGCCCTGGTTTCTAGATATCAATCTAATAGATACCCGACTAAGCCGTCTAAAAAAATCTGATACAAACAAGGACATATTTGTCCAACAATTTCTAGAAATGAAACGCCAGCTCATGAGGAAGAACGTCACGCTCCTGTTCACAGACGGATCCTTGAACAAGGAAATAATTGGCTTTGCAGTAACGCGATTGCTATTCTTGAAGCCATTAAAATAGCAGTCAAGATTAGAGGGAAATTCTGCATCTGCTCAGATTCCCTATCCACATTGGAAGCAATAGCCAACATAAACAATTCCAGCTTTTATGTATCGTCAATCCGCGACCTTCTGCTTAAACATAAAAATAAAATCAAACTCCTATGGGTCCCCAGCCACGTCGGAATCAAGGGCAACGAAAATGCCGATGCAGCAACGAAAGGAGCGACCATCGCTCCACTATTTTCTACAACAAATGTTAACCGTGGAGACATCAACAACAAATTAAAATCTGAGTCCCTCAAAAAAAAAAAACTATAATCTTGCAAAAATCATCGCAGTGGTACCAAAAAATTAATCCTGAAGCAATAAGCATAGCCGGCTACAGTAAAACTGCACAGACCTCCAACCTCCCACGAAGAGAGATTACCCACGAACATCGCTTCTCACAGATACCAAACTATCAATGCCAGTTCTGCACCACGGACTCCATATCAATCTCCCATATCCTTGACGACTGCCCCGCCCTACAAACACATAGAACAAATTTTCCAAATTTTAAACTCTCGGAACTATTAATTGACCCTAATCCTGCAAACCTCCAGCTAATTCTAAACTTCCTTAAATCAGCTAACCTTTTGCATCTCATATAACTTATATGTTATTAAATTTATAAATAATTTAAGTGTAAATAACTTGTTACCACACGTGTAAATAATCATTATTTGTTATAAGTTTAATTTATAAGCAAATATATAACGCCTGTACCTAAAGTTTGCAACTTTTGAGTGCAGAGTACAATAAATAAATAAATAAAAAATTTGAAAAAAAAAGTCCTAAACTTCTATCTTCAAAAATACTAAAGTTGGTATTTCTACCAAAAACCATTTCCGACCGTTCAGTTATAGCATTTCCGATCAATCAGTGATATGACAGCTATAGGATATAGTGTGCCGAACCTTATGTTATTCGGCATGTCGTATTATTTTGCCAAAAATAGCTTTCATGTATGTCAAATTTTAACTCTCTAACCCTAAAACACCGAAGTTATACCATTTCCGATCAATCAGTTACAGGGCAGCTACAGGATTTAGTCGGCCGATCCCGGGCTTTCCGACTTATATACTGCGTGCAAAAGAAAGAAGGGTGTGTGCAAAGTTTCAAGTCGATATCTTTAAAACTGAGATACTAGTTTGCGTAGAAACAGACAGACGGACATGCTCATATCAACTCATATTACTCATATACTTTCTAGGGTCGGAGATGTCTCCTTCACTGCGTTGCACACTTTTGACCAAAATTATAATACCCTCAGCAAGGGTATAAAAATTAAAAATTGTAATAAAATTATAAATAAAAGAAATTCATAGCTCCGATGTCAACCATTCTATTTGAGATCTCAACCAAAAGTGATTTTTTGCGAGAAAAGTTTTCGACAATACAAAACCGAAATGCCTTTGTATTAGTACGAAAAAATGAGAGACTATGCGAGAGACCTTTGAAAGACAGTAGGAAAAAACGAAACATCGTTTTTGTATTTGGCCTTTGCCTATGCTGAGAGCAACACACGTATATAAAATTTAATTTCCCATATGAAAGAGCAATTCCAACAACAAAAGGAGCACCAAGAGCAATGGGGCTGGGCACCCCTGCTCTATACGAACGGTTCAAAGTCCGATGTCACAACCACCTTCGAAGTCTCGGGACTGTCACAACCACCTACCATCTTCACGGAATTTACTGCGAAAGCGGTAGCTGTCATAAAGGCAAATAATTTCGTCGTGAGCTCAAAGAAAATACATAAACTGCAGTCATAGTGTTACAACAAACTTTTCGAATTAGCCGATAAAGCCGCAAAGCTAGCCGCAGGAGCTTCGCGCCACACAGTAAACCTAGATTACAACAGGGCATCTGAAATATGAAGATATGTATGTGGAAGATATTCCTCGACATCGAAAAAGACTGGGAGTCTTTTAAACACTGGTCAACAAGAAGGACATGAAATATCAGGCGTCGTGCAACAAAAGGAAATGCTCTATTCTCATTAACCCCAATTTATCCCATAAACACATTCTCAAGGTCGAAAACCGACCTTTGAGACCATATCAAGAATCATCATTAAAATATATACTTGATACATGGATACTGGATACTGAACCACTACTATAACCCCAGAACAAACCTCTTTGGTCTTACCCCAACCTCTAATCTATTAGCTAAATTATCAACCACCAACTCAAATCCACTATACTCTTCTTAGCTCATTTATCAACCAATAACTCGAATTGATTACTCTTCTTAGACAAATGTAAAATTATACACCTAATTTTAACACACAAATATAATGCATTTACTTTTCTCGTAAATTGTTAAAAAATATATATATATATTTAAAATAAAAGCACTATCAATTGTCGAGTCAATGGCCTCAGTAGCTAGTTACTCCTCCCTTAATTATTTTTTGTATTATAAATGCGTAACTGTATAATATGTATTGTAAATAAATAAATATATTTTTTAATTATTACTTACGCGTATGGCTCCTTCTGTAAATGCTCTGAATAGCTCATATTTATATACCTTATATCTTCGGCATCAATGCCCTTCGTAAGAAAAGTGTACAAGATAACCATTTCCTCATTCTGATCACGTGCACCATACATATCATATGGAACAAAATTTATGGTTTGTCTGGCCAATTCAGCTAATGCTTTTTTAGATGAAACTAATTTGTTCTTAGAAGAAAGTGGGACTGAATCCTTCTTTTTTTTTTGCGTACGAATAGTGTCCTTTCGGGGCCTGCCGGGACCCGTTTTGGGTAGTTGACCAACACCGGCTATATTATGTCCATCTAAACTGATTTTATGAGTAGCCATATTATTGGATGTTTCATCTAATGAAATACATTGTGCATGTGGTGGCAAAGAATAACAATGTTCTAAAGCAACTTGACTAGCCTGTGAAGCCGGGCTGTGTCCACCTTCAGAAGTGGCGGGTGATTGGGTTTCTTTCGTTTCGACTTTTAAAATTTCACACGCTTGGTTAGATCCTCTTAATTCGCTATTAAACAAATTATTAGCACCGGAATTTTCAACCTTTTTCATATAATTTTCAGTTTTGATATTTTCCTCATTATTTATATGTATTTTTTTATCTGATTTAATCGCTACATCTATGTTTTTATCAATATTTGGACTAATCCTAGAAACCATTGACGTGTTTGATTTATTAAGAGAATTAAAAGTTTCAGGGTAATCTGCAATTTCGGGTTGAGAATTTTTGTTTTTCTTCTCCTGCTCCTCTAAAAATTCTCTTTCAATCTGTGCCATGTACTCTGTATTTCGCCTTCTTTTCTCCTGATACTCGCGTTCCTCGTCCGAGTCACTATAAATACGACCATAATCAAATTTGGGCTTCTCCTTGTAAAAATCTGATTTTTGCTGTATTGCCTCTTCATTATAGTCTGGTGGTGGTACAGGGGTCAGAGAACGTCGGGATTCGTCATCAAGTTTTGGTGTAGCACATTGATCAAATGTATTTTCCATGTCATCTTCGGTCAATCCAAAACTACTATCTTTGCTGATATCTTCCAGATCAGAGGGTATAGATGAAAATAATTTTTCTCGTGTCTGAGGAAGCAATCCTGCATCTCCATTATTGTCATTATCATCATCCGTATCTGAATATATATGATTTTTTCTTGATTGATTTTTTTTAGACTCGTCCGGACTTTTAACTTTTTTTTCTTCATCGGAATCAGAGTATATATTGTTAATGTTACTATATTCATTTGATTTAAATTCCGTACTTCTTCGGGTTTGAAAATTTTTTTTCTGTTGACGCATATTTTTTAGTTGCGCTTCTTCAAAACTATCATCCTCGCTGCTTCTTTCATTTTCAACACATTCATTATTTTCGTTTTCCGCTTCAGAAGATGATGAAGAGGAAGAAGAAAAAAAACTTGATGCGCTTCCTTTCCTTTTTGAATTTGTATCTGAAGGGGAAGTTTGAAGCTTAACAGTTTGGTTTAAAATCCTTCTTTTAAGATTTGAACGTGGCAAATCGGAATTTCCCATATTAGAATCCTCTTTATCCGAATCAGAACGTTGTACCATTTCCTCTTGATCACTTAGATCTCTTTCTAATGATTGTCTTTGGTTGGGAATGGGGCTAGAACGTTTTCGTAATCGTCTAAAAGATGGCAATTTAGGCATAGACGCTCTTATACCAATACTTGAAAAGGATTGAAATTCCAATATTTCCCTTTGTGAATTAAGAAATGTATTATTATCTAGCGCCTTTTCGTTATTAGAGTTATCTATAATTATGTTCGCGGTTCCTATTGATGATTCGACAGTTTCAGTTAAGGGTTTGGAACGGGCCTTTAAAGAATGTTCATCCCACCAGGCTTCGAAATTTTTAAAAGCTGTTATTTCAATCATACGCTTATTAACATCTCGTTTAAGAATCTGCTTTAGCTCATCGACAATGTAGCCTATTACTTTTTTTACTCTTTGTCTTATTTTGTCATTTTGATCGGTGAAAGCATATTGAGCATCATATGATTGAACATAAGTATCAAAATCAAATGTTCCCACTCCTGATAAATAACCAGATTGCATATAGGCAGAGTTAGAAAAATAAGGGTTATTTAAACTAGGGGTTGTATGTATATTTGAAAGATAATGTTCATAGGAAGTTGTTTGGTAATAGTATGGATTTTGGTTTGAAGTACTTTGATACATAAAAGGGGTTACCGTGGATTTTTTATTTACGTCAACGAAAGACGTTAAATTCTGCACTGTATCTTCATGAGAGGACAAAGATGATAGAGACATATTGTCGTCATTTCCATCTTTAGTATTGATAATACTGGTTTTTGATGCGGCTTTTGAAACCACAAGTTCCTCATCACTCGAGATGTCACTTGCTCCATGATGGTCTTGCAAATTTGATAGCTTTTTCTCAGCTGCTTTTCCATCGGTTGAATTGTTAGAATCCGAATAATTTTCATTGGAATTATCGGCTTTTCCTTTTTCGGTTTCAGAGTCGCTACTCTCCATTTGAAGGAAAGGTGGTGCATTTCCAAAAGTTCTTCCTTTAAATATTAAGGCAATACGAGTATCTAAATCTACATTTCCAATTTCTATGTTCGATTCAGATATTTTTTTAGATTTGTTCTCGAGATTTATGTTGTTTTCTTGGGGTGATTGAAGCCTTGTGCTGACGGATTCTAAAGATATCTGGCTATCTTTTTTATCAATTTTAAGTTCCAAATCATCCCAATTTTCTTCTTCTTCAGGGGGAGGAGGAGGAGGGGGTTGAGGCTCAAATTCAGGCTGAGGGGCTTTCCAGTTCTTTTCCTCCGACCATGTACGAACACCTTCAGTTATAGAGTAACCATAATTATTGTATCCGTAATTTAAAAGAGATAATCCCGATAATGGCGCAGTAGAATAATAATGCTGAGTTTTTGAGTTTTCAGGCTTTTCAATATCAATTTTATTATATTCATGACTTTGATATCGTTTGGTGTATTTAAACGTTGAACGATCCCTTCGATCTCTCTCTGATGAACGGTCGTGGTCTCTTCCTCGGTATTCTCTTTCTTTAGACGAATTATATCGGTAATCTCTCTTTTCTCTTGAATGATCTTTCCCATCTCGAAAATGATCTCGTTCTCTTAAGCGATAATAGTCACGTGACTTTATGTTTGAATCTCTACGATTATCACATCCAGTAAACGATATTTCTCTAGAAAATTCTGTGCTTTTATCTCTGGAGCGGTGCCTATTAAAATTTCGGCATTGCCTTGAAGTATTTAAAAACTTATCGTGATTTCCGTGTTCGCGATCATAACTTCTCTCTGATGAATGTCGACTTTGTTCTTTAAAATATCGATCTCCTTCACGTTCTCTAATACGATCCCAGTAACGATCATTGCTCCGTTCAATATCAGAATTTAAATCTGCAGGTCTGTATCCAACATTTACATTATCCAAGGTATCTTTATCTAAATTACTGTTACCAAAATCAGCTTCATGGCAGATTCCTTGTCCCTGAGGCATAGAAGACATTTTTTGACCCTTTAAAATAGAAGCTTGTTTTGTAGCGACAGGGTTAGTTATATTTTCAACGGTTTTTTTTAGTATGGCACCAAACGGATCGCAGAAAACATTTAAAATCTAAATCGTTGAATTTGGAAAAGTGGTATTTAGTATTAGAAAAAGAAACAAAAAAAATCTCAAAAAAAAAAATTCGGCTGAAGCCGAATTCGGCTTAACTGACCAAAAATATAATCTGTACCAAGTTCCAGCTTTCTATCTTCAAAAACACAAAAGTTGGGTCAATTCCGATCGTTCAGTTATATGGCAGCTATAGGATATAGTCGGCCGATCCTTATGAAATTTGGTAGGTTGGATCAACTGACCAAAAATAGAATCTGTACTACATTCTAGCTTTTAATCTTCAAAAACACGAAAGTTGGGTCATTTCCGATCGTTCAGTTATATGGCAGCTATAGAATATAGTCGGCCAAAATCGTATGTAAAATTTTAAGTCTCTAACTTTAAAAATAGCAAAGTTATACCATTTCCGATCAATCAGTTATCTGGCAGCTATAGGATATAGTCGGCCGATCCCGGTCGTTCCGACTTATATACTGCGTGCAAAGGAAAGAAGGGTGTGTGCAAAGTTTCAAGTCGATAGCTTTAAAACTGAGACTAGTTCGCGTAGAAACAGACAGACAGACGGACATGCTCATATCAACTCAGGAGGTGATCCTGATCAAGAATATATATACTTTATAGGGTCGGAGATGTCTCCTTCACTGCGTTGCATACTTTTGGAAAAAATTATAATACCCACTGCAAGGGTATAAAAATCTCAAAGGTTGAGAAAAACCACAATTAGATCGATTTTAATGAAAATAACACTCGTGTATAGTTTCTTTTAGAGCTTTTTGGTGTTAAAAACACCTTTCAAGAAAATTCTCAGGGAAACATGATTTAACTGGTTCTTCGAGCCGGATATACAGCTGTGTTCATTAAAATAGCAGTGCGATAGCAATGAAGCACAGAAAAACGGTAATTTTTGCATTTTCCTTTTCGTTAGTTGATGGCTTGATCGTTATTTTTGGAAAATGGGATATAGAGATAGGAAAAGTACCAAAATTTCATAAGATTTGCATTTTATTTGCGTTTTCTGGGCATTTTTGTTCAAAATCACAAGTTTTTGGCTGTTCATAAAAATAGCCGTTTTTCATTTTGATCCACAAAAAGCGCCGAAAACAGGAAAACCCCTATAAAAAATTCAAGATATGGTAAATTTTTTTGCCAAAATGTTATACAATGTCATTAAATATGAGGGGAAATCCGAAACACGTGGGTTCAAGCGAAAAACCACCGATATTGAGGGCCGAAGAAAAGTGCGCTTCAGCAAAGTGAATCCTTTTGCGTATTCTAGGGATGTTAAAGCGGAGCTGAAGTTACGAATCAGCGACGTCACCATTCGCCATCGATTAGTAAATGAAAAAATAAATACGCGAAGCCCCGAAAGGTGCCATTACTTGGTACAAGGCATATCCAAGCTCGATCGGAGTTTGCCAAAAGCCATTTGAACTGGCCAGTGGCGAACGAAAAGGCGCAATATTCTTTGGATATATGAGTCCAAACTGGTCTTGTTTGGTGGGACAGGCTCAAAACAGTATGCCCGACGACCCCCAAACACTGAGTACCACCAAAACCACACTCTTAAGACCGTTACGCACGGTGGCCCTAATTATTGGTATGGGCTTGTTTTTTGTACAGCGACGTGTTCCCATACATATGATTGATGGGATCATGGACCAAGACGTCTATGTCGACATACTCAAAAAAGTTGTGCTTTCTTATGCACAGAGATATGCCCTTAAAAAGGACATTCCAGCAGGGTAACGATCCAAAACATACCAGCAAATTGGCTAAGAGTTGGGTTAGTCAACAAAACATTGATCCAATGTCGTGGCCAGCACAGTCCCCCGATTTAAAATTTATGGGGGACAACAAGGGATATGTGGCAAAGAAATCCCCGACTTCAAAGCCGCAGCTTTGGCAATTTGTACAGGACGCGTGGGCCCAGATTCCCCTCAAGCGTTGCCAGGTCTTGGTGGACTCCTTGCCTCGTAGGTGTGCAGCTGTTATAGCCAATAAAGGCTTTACGACAATATATTAGTTTATATTTATCATTTTTGTTATTTGTATTAAGTTATTTTTAAGATTTGATGAATTTTTTAGTTTTTTTTTGGTAACACTGCTATTTTTATGAACACCACATTTTTTCGATATTATTTTGTTATCTATATTTTCAAAAAAAAATACAGTAATCAGACTGAAAAAAATGTTAACATAATTAAAAATAAATATATTATGTGGATGTAAGCCAAATTTGTCCCATTTTGGTGTTTATACTACGATTTTTCGATCTTAAATATCTATGTCATTAGCACTGCTATTTTCATGAACACAGCTGTATATATCACCCATTTTTTTACGTTTGCTAAAAAAAACGTATAATTTGAAGATTATTTGTGGAATGGGTATACATGTACCTTTTTAACCTAAATTTACAACGCAGATTTTGGAATTTTACTACATAAGTTTCAAAGTGACATATATTGCGTGGGTTTGCGATCGCATGTTTTTCCAATTATTATGAAAATAAAAACTCGATAAAACCTATTAATTGCTTTAATTATAAGGCTAATTAGGTGCTACCGAAAAAACAAAAAAAATGGGAAGGGCGTACAAACGTACGTTTGGGAGGGGAAATGTCCATATTTGAGTGTAGGTACGGCTTATAAGACCTATGTGCAAAGAACGACGGAAATTAGGTTTCTAATGAACAGCCAGAAGGTGCAACACATTTACGGCAAAGAGTTCCGTTAAAATTAAAAAAAATCACTGAACAATCAAAAAATTTCTTTGTACCCAAAGAGACACATTTCCAAGGTTATATAAATCCGAATAATACTTGGTCAGGTTTATAGTTAAAGAAATATATTCTTCTACAATTGTAACCAAAGTCAATGAACTTGTGAATTAGTGGAAACAACAACCAACATACCTTTCCCATAACAGATTTTTCGTGGTATTTTTCAACAAATTGTCTAGCTCCTTTTGTGCTTTCAAAAACAATTCGGGCAATACCCAAATGTTTATTTGTGATTGGATGATGGTAAATTTGGATTTCATCGAATGTCCCACATTTGTCCAACATGCTGGAGAGAAACTGCTTGTCGATATTGTCGTTAAGGTTGACAACAGTAACTTCAATAGCCGGTGGTTGACCAACATAGTCAGAGTCGATTACAAATCTGTGGGGTATTTGAAATTAAGATACATTTTTATAGAAATTACTTCATACCTAGGTATAAGAAGCATAAGTGGATCAATTGGTCTTGCACGAATACGTATGAGAGGATTTCGGGGGTCTCTTGGCGTTAATGTTGGATAAGTCGGATCTCCTGGTACAACCCCATCGTAACGATACAGTTTGGCACCACATTTTACCAATTGTGGATCCGCTAAGAGTTTAAAATTACGGTGCATTTTAGCTTGGGGCTGCAATGACAGATTATTTGTGCATGAGTGGCTGCTGTCACGATTGTCCTTCATCTGCATGACATATGAATGTGGCCATGAGTACTAGGCGCGATAAAACTTTTTATTTATCATTTCCTCAATACACAACGTTCTTATAAGACTTTTTATCTTGGCCAGGTTTTTTCAAATATACCTAAAATATTTGAACAGTTTTTAATAACATTGTCTTCGTTTAATGTAATTAATATTTTATAAGAATACTTATTCCATCCTTCAAGACTGCTTCATGCAGATTTTAAGAAAAATCTGAATTCTTTCAAATAAAGGTATTCTTTGTTTTGGTAATCATTTTACCAAACACTCTTTTTATATTTAGGGTTTTTTCTCGTTATTTGCAATTTAGGCAATGCAATGTGTATTAGTGAAACTAGTTAACAAATAAATGTAAAATATAAAACACAGACCAAAATATACGCAGAAAAACGAGGCCTTAAGATGCAATTATCGTTTATCGATTGATAATATATCGATGAGTTCTATTAAAAAATACACAAAGTGGTGAACTAATTTTTTATACGATCATATAGTTTTATACTCATATACAACCATATTGAAAAATTTCATCCATAAAGCCCGCATACAGAATAAACATTTATTTTCCAACTGCAAAAAAAAATATTTTTTTTCTACTTTCCACGAAAAAATTTTATTTATACGCTTTTATATATATAAAAATAATGTATATAAGTTTTATATAGGTTGTATTTAGGTATATATATACAAATAAGGTACACAGGTTTAATATTTTCAATTTTTTTTGAATATAGATCACTAAAACTGGATAACAAATAGATTTTTACAAAATTCAAATGTTGTAGCTACTAAATGTTATTATGTTATAAATAACAATATTATGTTAATAAATGTTATTGCACCATTAAAAAAAAAACTTAATATATATAAATATAGATTTACAATAGACAATTTTTTTTACGTTGTGTTTTTAATATTTTATGTTATTTGTATTCCGCACTGAAAGCGACTACGAGCTGCTTGATTGAAAAGCAAAATTTTTATATTTGTATAAATACTGGAGATATGCCTAGGTCTGCGGGTTAAATTCGGGAAACTAACTATGTAAAATAAGCTTCGATATATAATATATATTATAACCTTATGTTTTATCCTTAAAACTTAGAATATTTTTTAAACTTTTCCAAAAGTTTTTTAAGCGTGAAGTGTAAATATATCATTTTCAGCAGTTACGTCAGTTTAGTAATCGATACTACATTCACTAGTCTTAATATAATGCTATTGTGAATTTACATTTTGTTGCATCACTTCTTTAGGTTTGACAATTACATAAATTTTTATACTTTTTGTTAATAATTTTTATTTTGTCCCTATTGTAGCTGCAAAAATGGCGTCTTGGAAAATCTGGTTGCCTGTGGTTAAAGCTGATGAAGAAGAGGACTTGGTGGATCCACAAGCAACTCTTCGGGTAATACTTCTTAATCGTCTTGCAGAATAATAGCTAATGTTTTTGTTTCTACTTAAATCAGGAAAAATGCCAAGCCAAGGGTCATATTGAGTCTTTGTACAACAAGTACCAGGAGTGCAACGATCGCGTCAATGGACGATCTAAGACATCCGAGACCTGTATGGAAGAATTATTTGACTATGTCGCCGAATTGGATCATTGCGTTGCTCACAGTCTTTTCAACAAATTGAAATAAAAGAAAGTCTAGATTTTCTTGTTAAATTAAATGGTTGAAAAAGAACATTGAAATTATTGCGGGCTAATAATTGATTTTAAATCTAAACTTCTGAAAAAACCTTTGTTAGCTACCGTCTTTGCTGTCGTGTCCGTATTATTCGGTCTTGCAAAGTTCTCATGTTTATTTCGGTAAAGTTTACGTTGGTGGTTGGTATCGTAATTCACAGGAGGGGATGCATGTTCAGCTTTATGTGACAGCATCCCGGTATGAAAATCTATTCTATAAAAAGCACAAGACATTTACATACATTTACGGCAGGGGTGGGCAAGCCTATGGCTCCTCGGGCTCTCAAGGCTCCCCCCGTTATTCGTAAATTTTGGCGCCAGCAAATCGGGCCAGACGATCGAGTCGCGCGGTCAGTGAGCCGTGAAGATTTACAAAAACAATGCTACACAAATTTTGAAGCAGGTAGCGGGCCCGACCCCGCGGTCCCGAGTTTGCAACAACAATTATTAAGGGTCCGTTTGCGCACAACGCGACGACAACCATCGCGAGGGTGGTGGTTGTTGTTGTAATTTATTGTTTGGCCGAGCTGCGGCTCCGACCGTTAGATTTCGTGCCCACCACTGATTTACGGTATGGATACCATATGTACTTTTGGGCTTGAGCAAAAAAAAAACCATAGCCCCTCCTCTACTTCCAACTGCAACCGATACTACCGATTCAGTAAAATTGTCAAAAAATTGTGCGATTTTGCTGTATTATGAATTGTAGATGTAGATTAGCCATTAGAACAGTTTTGCATCAAAAACATTAATGACTTCGCGGGTAACATACATGTGCAAGCTCGAAACCGGATAGTTCTATCTCTTATAGTCTTTGAGATGCACGCGTTCAAAATTGTATCCTGTTTGTATGAGAAATATGTAGTATTGTATATATATGAGTATATTTCCCATAAAATTTTGGGCGTGGAAAACATTTGCAGTAAACTTGAACTGCGTTGGCATTATAAGAATCTTGTAGTATTTGAGATTCTCCCATTCATACGGACAGACGAATATATGGCTATATCGACTCGGCTGTTAATCAGCATCACTTAATGGGGTCGGAGATAATTCATATTCTATGTTACATACATTCACCCAACTACAATATATCCTAGTACACTACGTGTACCGGGTATAAAAATATACAGTTTTATTATACCTTTGCAGACAGTATTATAATTTTGGTCAAAGTGTTCTTACGCAATATAAGCATGCACTATCTGAGTTAATATAAGCATTTCTGTTACTACGCGAACTAGTCTCTCAGTTTTATAGTTATCGACTTCTAACTTTTGACTCAAATTTCGTGTTTTTAAAGATAGAATTTTTGAACTTTCTTTGGATTATATTTTTTGCCAAATTAACAAATTTCCTATCATACCAAATTTTATAAGGATCGACAGTCTATATCCTAAAGTTGCCATGTAACTGAACGATCGGAAATGGTATTTGGTATAAGCTTTTTTCTCTTGTTAATAATTATTAATATTCTGTTTTCTTTTCATAAGAAAAGTTTTTTAAAGAAATAATAAGAAAGATTTTTTACTGTCATTGCGCTTGAATTTATTGTGAGGGATCTTGGAAATGCCCATATATCCTTGATCAGGACGACAAGTATATACAAATAAAGAATGAACGTCTGTGTGTCTGTTTCTATGCCAGAGTTTTTTCAATTAAAGTTTATTCAATTTCAATTTTTTCAATCAATTTTTTTTAGACGACATCAAATCAATTTATCATTTAAAGTATAAGTATAAGTATATAAGGTCTGTGTTTTGTTGTATTTATAACAAGAAAGAAAAGCTAACTTCGGGCGGAGCCCGAATCAAATCGGATACATATCGCAAACTTCGGATATAGTTGGCCAGTCCTTCTGAGAATATTATTATAAAACCAATTAATTACAATAAAATATCTAAAAAAAAGTGCCAAGCTTCTATCTTCAAAAATACCAAAGTTGGTATTTATTTCTGGATTAAGGCAACGAGTCTGCGTTGGGCAGCTCCTACAGTAATCGTAGTGTGGTCCCTATTTTCAAGCACCCATATGAGATGGATACTGCTACTCATACTGCATACCTCTGAGTGCCGCTTGACTATCTGAGAAGAAACAAATAGTGTCTTGAGTGCCAGGAAGTGCCGGGGATCAAAGTGCTTCCATGATAGCTATTACTTCACCTTGTAGTCTGAAGGTCTCATTTAGACAAAAACGCTCGCAGTAGAAACCACCTCCAACCTGGCCATTCAACTTCCAGGCGGGAATCTGTACGAAGTTCCAACTTTATATCTTCAAAAACACGAAAGTTGGGTCATTTCCGATTGTTCAGTTATATGGCATCTATAGGATATAGTCGGCCGATCCTCATGTAAAATTTGAACTCTCTAGCTCTACAAACACCGAAGTTATAGCATTTCCGATCAATCAGTTTTATAGCAGCTATAGGATATAGTCGGCCGATCCCGGCCGTTTCGACTTATAAGGAAAGACTGCGTGCTAAAGAAAGTAGGGTGTGTGCAAAGTTTCAAGTCGATAGCTTTAAAACTGAGAGACTAGTTTGCGTAGAAACAGACAGACGGACATGCTCATATCAACTCAGGAGGTGGTCCTGATCAAGAATACATATACTTTCTAGTGTCGGAGATGTCTCCTTCACTGCGTTGCACACTTTTGGACAAAATTATAATACCCTCTGCAAGGGTATAAAAATAGTGTTTTTTATGTAAGATAAAGGTGAGGAATCTTAATGCATATGCAATGATAAGTTGGAGTCCATAGTGGTTTTCTTAGGGACTATTTTTACCCCTATTATTCAGATAAGGATGTTTTAACAATTCCATCGGAGATCCATTTTCCTACTTTCTTTTGTATTTCGTTCCTCTGACTTTGTGGACTTCTATAATTTTGTGCATACACTCGTTAATTATTTTTTAATGTCCGTTTTTGAAGTTTAGGCATTAAGGAAATTATCAGACAGGCTCCGGTGGTTATTTTTTCTTTTCGAGGTCTTTCAGAATGGAGGGTATGGCTCGTGCACCACCTAGAATTCATGCATTCATCTCTAAGCTTAGAGACACACCCGACCGAGGGGCGCTCGATGTATTAAACTAAATAGAAAAGACAAAATCGTTTCTTTATTAACAAAAACTTAAAACTAAGAACTAACAATAAGGCCTCCTAAGTCCCTGTCCCCTTCGGTAATGCCGCTAGGTTTTGCTTCGGTTCGTTTTTTTTACCGTAAGAGGGTCGTATTGTGCATATGTCAAATGCACAATTGCTAAGAAATAGAGGACTACATTTTCTAGTCCTTCTATTAGGAATATTAAAATTTTAGTAAATGCTGGCTATCTATATAACCATTGATGAGGTTCGGTAGAAAAGCTACACCCAGCATTGTCCTACGATTTGTTAGGTTTATTAATAATAGTCTGCTATTTCTAACATGGGTAATATGATCTAGGGATATTAAAGATTCTGGGATATTAAAGTCACCCAAAACTACAAGCAGGTCACATAAGATTAACAAGAAAGGAAAGCTAACTTCGGGCGGAGCCGAAGTTTATATACCCTTGCAGTTAAAACCGGATATATATCGCAAACATCGGATATAGTTGGCCGATCCTTATGGGAATAGGAATATATACTCCAATTTATTACAATACAAAATCTAAAAAAAGTCGCAAACTTCTATCTTCAAAAATACGAAAGTTGATATAATATTTCTACCAAATACCATTTCCGATCGTTCAGTTATATGGCAGCTATAGGATATAGTCGGCCGATCCTAATGAAATTTGGTAGGTTGGATCAACTGACCAAAAATAGAGTCTGTACTAAATTCCAGCTTTCTATCTTCAAAAACACGAAAGTTGGGTCATTTCCGATCGTTCAGTTATATGACAGCTATAGGATATAGTCGGCCGATCCTTATGAAATTTGGCATGTCGTAATGTTTTGCCAAAAATAGCTCTCACCTAAAATTTGAACTCTCTAACTTTAAAAATACCAAAGTTATACCATTTCCGATCAATCAGTTATATGGCAGCTATAGGATATAGTCGGCCGATCCGGGCCGTTCCGACTTATATACTGCGTGGAAAGGAAAGAAGGGTGTGTGCAAAGTTTCAAGACGATAGCTTTAAAACTGAGAGACTAGTTTGCGTAGAAACAGACAGACGGACAGACAGACAGACGGACAGACGGACAGACGGACATGCTCATATCAACTCAGGAGGTGATCCTGATCAAGAATATATATACTTTATAGGGTCGGAGATGTCTCCTTCTCCTCCGCGGTTCAGATGAAGGAGGTATATATGAACAGGAAATGTATAAATATTTACCGGACAGAATGATTTTAATGCAAATAAATAAATGTAACCAAACTTTTGTGATTTTACCTCTTCAGAAGCAAATTGGGAATCTACCGAAATTAAAACTCCTTCCTTCATAGAGGTCGATCACGTCTAAAAGTAATGTACTCACATGGAAAAACCTCGGAGCCCCCAAGTTTTTGAAAAGGCTATAGTATGGGGTGCAAAGAGATAACTATCAGAACCTTATTATTATTATTATAAAAGACAGAAAAGTTTACAAAGCTACAAAGCTGGACTAGCTTAATGATATAGCGCTGGCTACTGGGGCCTTCGGCTATTTGAGTTGTTAGTGCTTAGGCCTTAAGGGATGGTATATATACATGTTGTGTCTTAATTTAATATTTTTGTATCTATAAATCTATGTATTCTGTCGTTATCTATGTATTCTGTACATTATTCTTCTTAAATTAGGCAACTAGTCTTATTAAATATTTATATTTAGATTTTGTGGTATAATTGTGTTGTTTTTAGTAAAAGTAGTATTTTTCAATGTTTTTTGGGTTTAGGTCATTGAGGAGATGTAGCGGGTTGGAGTTTTGGAAGATAGTTTGCTTTGTTTGTAAGAGAGGTGGACATGTGTTTAGTATGTGGTGTAAGGAGAGGATGCCTTGACAAAAAGGGCAAGGTGGTATTGGAATTTGGTTCAGA